AATTAAAAAAAAAAAAACAACAAAGGCCAAAGGTCTGCAGGATTTATGCTTAGACAGCATTTTTGGTATTTAATCCAAACTGCATACAATTCATGTATGCATTAACATCCTTTAAAGGGTGTTTCTCTTGCAGTCCTCATGACATGATTATCATGCCTTTGTTGATCATTTCTGCAGCTCTTTTAAATCTCTAGAGCAAAGATCCCTTAAAGTTGAACCTGGATAATGTGGACCAGCAGATACCACCACGACTTGCTTCCCTAGGATTGCAAACATGTCCCTAAGGATAAAGGTTGGGAAAGGAAACTAAGCAATAAAAAGACACATTGTCTTTAACTCCCTTTTTTTTTTTTTTTTTTTTTTAAGAGAGTGAGAAAGCCCGTGCATTCGGGGAGGAGTGTGGGGCAGAGGAAGAGGGAGGGAGAGAGAGAGAGAGAGAATCTTAAGCAGTCTCCATGCCCAGGTCAGAGCCCAACCCAGGGCTCCATCTCACGACCCTGAGATCATGACCTGAGCTGAAATCAAGAGTCAGACGTTTAACCAACTGAACCACCCAGGCACCCCTTTAATTCCCCTCTTCTAATGCTCTTGATCTTTGACCACAAAAATCTTTGCATTGGAATGCTCAGTATCCCTTACGAAAATCATGAAGATAACTGCCCTCATAATTTTCTTCATCCTCTATTTTTTCTTAGCGTCCTTCCACTTCACATTATTTTTACTTTTTTGAATATTATTTGTGATAAATGTTTTGCTTCTAATAAATCAGCTTCTTAATTCCTGGTAGCTTACTATAGGATTTGATATACGATAAACCCTTTGGGTGTTTTGTTTTGTTTTAAAACAGAGAACTTGATCAGCAGAGTAGACTCTCACATTTAGGCTTTTCCTTAGTGAAATAGCTGAAATAAAGGCCCAGTTGTTCACAGCCTCCTTTCAGGCATCGTTACTTGAAATAAGCATTCCTGTGTTAATCTGAAAACTCACTGCGGGTTCTTCTGCGGCTCCCTCCCCACTGCTGTTTTCCAGCACTACTGCATGGCAATAGGCGTGCTACCGCAGTGCAGACTAAGATTATGTTTTCGTGTTACTGTTCCCTGAATATCACCCTTCGGAGACATCCAGAGAGCTCCACCATGACAGGCTGTGCTGCCAGTCTTGGGACCCTGGGAAATATGGTTCAAATACCCAATCCTAAATTCACTGTTTACTCCCCTGTAAGCCACTGTAAACCCAGTATCAGTGTTGTCTGTCTCTGTGAGCATAAGAAAGAAGCTTACATTTTGATGAGTTTGAGGTCATCTGTACAGTCTGTGTGAGGAGAAATAATTCATTCCCTCTTAATTTTCTACCATGAGTTCACCTACCATAGTTAAGCCACAAGTTTATTGAGAGATTTTAGGGGAGCCATTTATAGAATAAGGCTAAGCCACTCCCTTTGAACCTGAAGAGAATCAAAGAATTGATAGACCTCTTAATTTTTGTTCCACAGAATCATCCTGATGTCGCAAACAAATTGGCTACTTGTCCCTTCAATGCTCGCCACCAGGTTCCTCGGGCCGAAATCAGTCATCATATCTCAAGCTGTGAGGATAAAAGTTGTATTGAGCAGGATGTTGGTAAGACTAGCTAAAAGGTTTCAGTCCTAGAGGTTAGCCCCTTCAGATTTGTATTATGCTCCGTTGTCACCTTGATTTCTTGATTTTTGGCTTTCATCATTTCAGAATAGTACCTTTCTGCCCTTGAGTATTTTATCTCATCAATAAAAGGTTGTCAGGCTGTGTTTATCAGACTGCTTTCTCTTTTGAACAACCTGATCCATCTTACCAGTAATTAATCTAAAAATAAAAATCCTTTTATTGTCATAAACCAAGACAAACAATCTTTGTTTCAGCTTCTTTTTCTTCTGCAAGGGGATAAGACCTCTGCTTAGCTTTCGTAGCATCTGTTTTTCAGAAACAAAGACCTATTAGGCTACCCTGAAACCTTTTAAGCCACTTAACCCCTTTAAACATAATAACCTGACGATGTCCCCTTTTTACATCAGAATCTTTGTTATCTTGCAGTCAACCAAACCAGGAACCTTGGACAAGAGACTCTGGCTGAGAGCACATGGCAGTGCCCTCCTTGCGATGAGGACTGGGATAAAGGTGAAGTGTCTCTACATCTTTTTCTTCACAATGTCTAAATCGCAAGTCATTTGCTTTAGACAGAAGGAAGATTTTCCTTTTTTAGGAACATACCATGTTCGGAACGCCTTATTATTGTTATTGGGCCTCAAAACAAGCACATTCGTATCACTGTGCAGACACGTGGAACAGCCTATCCCTCTTGACTGGAAAAAGCACTTCTTTACATCTGTTTTTTTTCCATAAATTGTGTTGTACCATCTGTGTTTGGTTGTTACTGGGCACGTTTATTATTATTTAGGTTGCTTGTGTTTATATCCTTCAATTAAATTCCTGCTACTGTGTCACTTCAGCAGGGTACTTGATCAATCTTTAAATTTCTCTAAACTTAGGTGTATTATTTCCCACCTTACAGATTCAACTAGCATAAACTGGTGTTTTACAGGAGTGTCACAAACTGTGTTCTTTCTTTGGCAGATCTTTGGGAACAGACCAGCACCCCATTTGTCTGGGGCACAGCCAACTACTGTGGCAACAACAGGTAAGTGAAATGGGCTCATTCCCAGCACTGCCTCCCAAAATCCAAGTGACCTGTTACCAAAAGAAGCCACCAAAGCATGATTTGATCTCTTTCCTTAATGATGTTACTTGGTGGTAACTTAGTCTAGATAGTTTTGATGGGTTATTTTCCTTATTTATTCCTCGATTCATAAAAAGGTCACATGCTTTGTGTTAATCACTATGGGAACACAAAAATACTAGCTTATAGTCTAGCAAGGGAGACCGTGGTACCAGACATTCTTACGTCTAAGTTGGGTTTTTTGCTGAGTTGGCATTATTTTAATACTTGGAAAAAATTCTCCAGTGACACCACTCTGGGTAATTAGTGTCTAAGGAAAAATAATCCTGAAAGTTCTTGATTTGAAATCGGGCAAGCCAGAGTACCTATTGGGTAGGGAAGAAAATGCATCTCTTCTTTCCACTGATTTTGTATCTAATTTGTATCTCAGTGTGGGGCTTGAACTCGTAACCCTGAGATCAAAACCTGAGCTGAGATCAAGAGTCAGACGCTTAACCACTTAACTGACCGGGCCACCCAGGCACCCCTTTATCTAATTTAAATCTATGAGATTTCTCATTACTGCTTCATCTTCAAACCTTAGAAGATCAAGTTTCAGATATTCAGAAATGAGAATATTTATGGATTAGAAAATGAAGGAATGAGATGCTAGACTTCATTTTTCCCCAAATAGAATGCTTGTCAATTTTTCTTAGCTCCTAAGATAAGTTAGTAATTGTACATGTACCTTATTTTGTGTGTGCACTAAAATAGAAAAACTTAAAGATGAATCTTAATAGCACAATTTTAATTTTACCTCAGTTCTATGAGATTTGTTGCCTTTGGTTTGGTTGTCTTGGCATTTTATTTTATCTCTTACATTTATTGAGTGAGTTGATGAGCCTGTCATATAACTGAACAGTAGATGGCATTGCTGTTTATCTCAATTTCTGGAAAAGGAAAATGGTTAGACCCATCTTAATGCTTGTACAGAACAGTGAGCTTTTCAGAGAAGTGGTAATCATTCTAATTGCAAGAATGTTTTGATGGAAATGTGTTTGCATTTCAGAATGTAGTTTGCTGTTTCCTCCCAAATTACAAAACACACATTTTGATTGTCTTGTGTGTGCCTGCCTAAAGAATACAGATATGCTGGCATACGCAGATTTGTCTTTGTTTTTGCAGCCCTGCAAGCAACATAGTTATGGAACCTAAGAGTAACCTGGCTTCAGGCATGCGTGTTCCCAAGTCTCTGCCATATGTTCTGCCATGGAAAAACAGTAAGTGAAATAAAGGCAAAATGTTTTTACTCTTTTCGTTGTGCTAAATACAGTTGGTCTTGATTATTCAGGGACATAGTCAGTGTGAACACATTACACTCACATGACCCTGAGTGCCTCCTTAAATTTTGCATTCTGAGCACCTCACTCCCTACACCCTAGGCCCGGCCCTGGTTAGTAACAGGAAATCATGAATAAGAAAGTACAAGATCGCAGAAACCAAAAGAATATTTTCAAGTTGGGATGACCACTGACATCAAATACCTTGGGTAAATTTGGAGACCAATAACAAGGCTACTGACACTGGGCAGGAGGAAGTCATCTCTGACACTCAAGGCATCATATCAGTAGAAATTAGGATTAGAAATTGGATTGCAGAGACCTAAAAGGAAATGAGTAGAAAGAAAACGAAAGTAATAAGTTATAGGAACTAGCATAAGAATAGTATTCTGATGTCTTCCCTAGACATCAGAAACTGTGCCGAGTAAATAGGTACTAAATTCATATCATATCACCCTGATAAATTCCCACATGGGGAACACCCAAGATACTATCATTTTTATTTAATACAGACTTTCCTAATGTTGCCCCCAAATTCAGATTCCCTTGATGTCAGTCTTTGCTACTATTTGAGCTAATTTTTTAGGTGGCTAGAGGATTCCCTTTAAAACATTTCCCTTTGGATATTTGCATTTCCCAAAAAAATGAGTTCACCACATCATATGCCTAAAGGCTAGAGAGGTAATATACTATTCTTTTCCCATGCTCTTGAATAGAATCCAATCACTAATTTTAAATTCTTCCACTTTTATATTGTAATTCAGTATACCCCAAGAATAATAAGTCATTTGTGTTTAGTAAGAATAGGGGAAGGAGTGAATTTCAATTGTCATGGTGTATTTATTTTGAAATATTTCTACTCTATAGATGGAAATGCACAGTAACTGAATAGCTCATCAAGTAAGTGTTTCAGTTTTATTTCACTCTCTCTTCAGATGGTAGCAAGATTTAACTGGACATAAAGCAATTTGGGTCCAATTTTCCTTCAGATTATGGTACCAAATTAAAGCTTTGTGTGTGCCTGTATTTTTTAAGTATATAGCTTCTGTTATGGCTCTACACGCTAATGAATAGGCATTTACTTGTTAAATTAGAATCCTGTTAACATGCCATGTTGCTTTCCCTAACGTTAGTACACATTGCCTTTTTCCTTTTTTCTTTTTCTTTTTTTTTTTTTATCAAAGTTGCATTCGAGATCTATCATGCCTTTTTAATGGACTGAAATTAATCAGACCGCTGTGCTTCACTGCTCTGCAATTCTTGCCCTGTGCAGTACAGTTTAACACTCAGCAAAAAATTCATACTCTTTTTAATGAGCAGTTAAAAGTTTGGGGTCTCTAAGAAGCTTGCACTGTTGATCTTACCTGAATATTTGATTTAGCAGAATCTCACAAAATCTCTATGAAGAGACTAAAATATTTTACTTTTTACAGATGAAGCCTTTCCTGAGGTAACCCTATATGCCTATGGCAGAGCCAAATTTGATTCTTCAAATGCTGTTTTGGCTGAGGTTGCCCAGCCATATTGCTCCTGCCAAAAGGAATATTATTAAGCTAGGAATGAGACTATATCCCCACTGTCTTGCAGATAGTAGGCCCTCTGTGAATATTTCTTTAAGAGTGAGTAATTGGCCTCTTGCCTTCCAGTTCATTCACTTCCTCTGGACAGTGAAGCAGATGGATCTCCTGTGAGTTAGGGTTCATTTTGTGCCAAAACTGATGTTTCTTCTGGTGAGAAGCAGAAAAGAGATTCCAAAAGCAAACACCCCTTAGCTATGGACGATAATGTTTATGTGTTGCTTCTAGGTGCTAGCGATTTTTCTTGGTAAGTTTTTGTTTTGTTTTGTTTAAGATTTTATTTATTTACTTGACAGAGAGAGACACAGTGAGAGAGGGAACACAAGCAAGGGGAGTGGGAGAGGGAGAAGCAGGCTTCCCGCTGAGCAGGGAGCCCGATGTAGGGCTCGAACCCAGGGTCCTGGGATCATGACCTGAGCCGAAGGCAGACGCTTAACGACTGAGCCACCCAGGTGCCCCTCTTGGTAGGTTTTGATGTCAAATTGTTAAATACATGTGGAAACCAGAAAATTGGATTTGGCCCCAGAAGGGAATGAGACACAACAGCACTGGGGTGTGTCAGGAAAACACACACCACCTGGATGAATGGTGAACTTTGAACCCTTCTGACACACTGCACAAGATGCTTGGTTCTCATACAGTACGGATTGCTACATAATAAAAATGGTCCAGGGGCATCTGGCTGGCTCAGTTGGGAGAGCATGCGACTCTTAATCTTGGGGTCGTGAGTTTGAGCCCCACATTGGGTGTAGAGATTACAAGAAAAAAAAAAGTTACTCTAGGTGGCTCAGTCAGTTAAACAGCCAGCTCTTGATTTTGGCTCAGGTCATGGTCTCAGGGTCCTGGGATCACCCCGCTTCAGGCTCCCTGCGCAGCGGGGAGTCAGCTTCCCTCTCCCTCTGCCCCTGTCCCCGCTCGCACGTGTGTGCATGGTCTCTCTTTCTCTCTCTCTCTCTCTCAAATAGATAAATCTTTAAAAAAAAAATTAAGGTGAAAGCCTAGGAGAAGCTTCTATCTCTAACACCTAAGACTAGATACCTTCTCTCCTTGGGAACTTAACTCTTTGCTATTAAACCCCTTACATGCTAAAAATGTATTTTTCTTTATAACCCCTGAGGAATCAGGAGAGAAAAATTATCCTAGGTTAGGTAACAATCCTTAAACAGCCACAAACCTTTTTATCCTCTTAATAAAGTATCATTTTTTGAATGCCGGTTGTTACAGAATTCTCTAGCTTCTTTGGAAAGATACAAAAGAAATAGAAGATAGGACTTATTTATTCCCTTAAGGAACTTAAGTGTGGGTGGAGATTTTCTTGAATGCATATACATGAAGAGGGTTTGTTCACCTTGCACTTGATATGCTTTATCTCGTGTTTTTATCAACAAATCTACTTTTTACTAGATAAGTATCTCAAAGCAGGTGATACCATATTAATTTTTATTCCCCCAATGTATGTTGTAAAAGCTCAAAAAATATCACTGAATTAATGAATAGATAGAACATATGAGAAGAGAAAAAGATCAATATAAGTTAATTGAAATTAATCCAGAATTGTCTGGAGATGTCAATTGTATGGATAGTCAATTCTGATTTTCTGCTCACTCATGAAACTGTTGATACAAGCAGTGTACAGTGAGCTCTATGTAGAATGTTTTTGATTCAATTAACAAGTTTCTGTGTGCTTAGTGGTACTGAAGAGCTAAGGGTCAGAAGGTACTTGGTGTTCTGCCATTAACAATATCAGATTCTTCCAGCTGACCAAGAGATGTTAATCAGGTTGTAGTTGTGTGGCCTATTATCAGATGTAGTTGGTGTTTTTGTCACTGAAGGGAACTAAGAACTCTTTTTTTTCTTTCATTTCCTTGCAGATCCCAGACTCTAGAAGACTCTTGTTTCTTCCTGCTACCAGTGGGTTCTTCGTGGTTTTTTCCTCCTAATCTAATTATAGAAAGATAAACTGTCTGTGACTTTCAAACTGACAAGTACCCTTTTTTTTCCTCCATGCTTTGAGTCTTCACTCATTTGATGCAACAAATGAGTTCGAGGGCTGCAGACAGCCCTCAAACTCAGAACTGTTTCAAATAAAGCATCAACGTAGATAGCTTGATAGTTTGGTTAAGTACCTGCAGCCCCAAGATCAGAAATCACATCCCATTTCACATTAATGAAACATAATTATTTAAAGTTATCTTAAAGGATCCAGCTAAAGCAGGCAAGAAACTTGGGTTGGAAAAAGTAACTGTGTATTTGTGTTCTCTGATACACATAGATCAGATTCCTTTTAAAATTTATAGGAATGGTCCTTTTTTGATCAGTGCATCTCCTTATCCAGAGTCTTCAAGACATTGATAGCATTTAGATAGCAAAACACCCCATTCTTGTTTAGAATCTGTAGAACACCTTGCTCCCTGAATATTTCCAACCTAGAGTAGGTTTCTTTTGTTTCTCTCCCACATTCCAGCTAGAAATTGTACTAGCTGTCAAGCCAGGTGTAGATTATGTAGGAGTGAAGATTGGAATGGAGGAGAGGAACAATTGTATGTGTGGAGAAGAGAGAGGCTTTCCACCTATGTGTGAAATTTGATTAAGCTTCAAAGCTTAAATGTGTGATGGCCCTGCTGACTCTCCTGGAATGTGTGTATAAGAAGTTAGATTTCTGAAACACCCAAGGCTCTGGCTAGCCTAGCATTTTGTTGGCCCTTACAAGGAAACTTCATAATCTCCCCAGACCAGCTTTTTGTTTGTTTGTATCTGTGCATTTTTGTGTGTGTGTTTTTGTTGGTTGGTTGGTTTTTTTCAGGTTTGGTTTGGTTTGGTTCTAAATCTGTCTGGCAGGGAGAGGGATTGGGGATCTGGTATAGATAAGGACTTGAATGAAGCATAGTGATAATTTCAAAAATGATCCATGTAACATTTTTTGTGAGTAACAGATAAGGAAGAGTGGGCTCTTGTGGAATGCCTTCTTTCATGATATTTACACGAAACAGGATTCTCTCCTAATAGAAGCAGAGCTGTTTATTTAGTTGCAGTGCCTAAAAACGGGTCCAAGATAGCCCCAGTACAATGGTATTTCTGCTTCTAGCTGTGTGATCTTAAGAGAATAACTAGACCATTTCCTCTGGAGAGGGTGATAATGTATTGAAGGGGGGAAAACACCCATTATGCCACTAATTCTGATTATTTGTGTATCAATCAATACTCACACCAACTTAAGGTTATTTAATAGTCTTATTACTAGAAAATACAAAACCCTTTTGATTTCATTTGGGTGATAACAGAACAAAACTCTTATACTACACTTGTAACCCAGAACTCCTACCTAGTTTAGGTAAAACAAGCAAGGTTGTGAGTCTCATTGCAAAGAATTAGCTGCATGAATACAACTCAACAAAGGAATCAAATAGAAACCACAAAATCACAAAACATCTAACCATTTCGAGTATGAGTAGGAGAATGCCTACCTGTGTTAATTTTGTTAGCTCACAAAATAAATCCTGTGGTTTCTTCAGTAAACTAATGATTAAAGCAGCCAATTTGTCTGGTCCAGGAGCTTTCTGAGACTGCTTAGGGTATTTATTGGGCCTAGAATTCACTAGTCTGGATTTAGTTTGCTGGTGATTTTTGGAGATTCCCAAAAACTAGAATAAAGAAGTGACTATTTATAGGTCCGTCAGAATTGGGGAGGAGAAGCTTACCTGTAAGACCCTTTTTTTCAGAGAATGCTTCCCTTTGGAATGTGGACAGGTAAGCAGCTGAATATTCTTTAATTTCAGTTAAAGTCAAGTGTTAATGGGTAAAGGTTAAAAGCAGAGGTGTTTCAAAAGCTTAGCCCAGAGAGCCTTTGAGGCCTGCATTTCGATCTTATCCAGAGCCTCTACAGTCTACCCCAAGGAGAGGATTTGCTTTTTTGGAAGATTGCCTTTCTCTGTAGGGGTTCTGGAAGTGCCATTGTGATTTGCAAATGTTCTCACCAGGAATAAACACATGTAGGTTAAAATGATGCTGAGCTCTCCTGGTAGCTGTACCTGAGCTAAACACGGAGAGTATCTGGATTTAATTTCAAATAATGCACTGCAGTATTCTTTCATTGTGGAGGCAGAGTGGTAGCTCCTTGTGTTAGTCCTAATGTCAAACAAAATGGATATACATATATTGGCATTCTTGGGGTCCTGTAGTTTTTACTGTGCCCAGCTCATATTAAGCTCCAAAGTAGGCAGGAACTGAGGAGATAACATTATGCTTATTATTGCCATTTTTAAAGAGGCAGGTTATAAAAATCAAGGCGATTTGTATACTAAATTTAAAATGATTGAAGCAGGACTGGCCTTGGAAAGGAAACCTTTAAGAAAATATTTGTTTTCTTGTGCCAATTCCGTGAGTAGAATAAGGAAAACTACCTATATACCATGAGAAAAATACTGTAGTGACTGCTCATTCTTTTGATCACTGTCTCCCTGGTACCATTAAGGTTCAGAACATATTCACATCCTACTTTACAGCCATGGCCTCTTGAGAGGCCACTGAAGACACTTGAACCTGTTACCCATACCCAGTCTCAGGTGACTTTTTATTCCAGCCATACCGAGGTCTGATAAATGCAGACCTGTGTATGAACAGGGCATTTGCCCTTTACACAGCAATTCCACTGCCTGGTCCGACTCACTTAACTTATAAACTTGGTAACTGGTGAGACAAATATAAAAGTTCAGATTGTTTATAGCTAGGAAAAATAGCATCCTAAGGCCGACAATAACCCTGGAGATCAACCATATGGTCAGCAGATTTGCATTTGTGTTTACCTTATTTAAAGATTGTTTTATATAAAAACTAAAATAGCATAAGAATCTTTGAGGAAACATGAAGAAGACAAGTTTAGTTTTATTTTATATATGCACACACACAATTGTATGGAGGAAATAAATCCAGGTTGTATGAAAAGTTGCATATGAACCCAGCCATGCCTCCTCATTTTTATTAAAATACTTGTCACTGAAATAAATATGTTTTCCTAGTTCAACTGTTTCAGTTCTATTTCCTCAGGCTTGGGTTTCAGGTTTTCACTGGACAGGGTCAGGGGCTTAGCTTATTTAGCTCCTTGTGTTGGTTTTCTCTAGAGTAGAACTTTCTAGCAGAGGTGCAAATTGAAAGTGATGGAAAGTCTTGATCTTGAGATTAGAAACTCCATTGAGATACCCTTTTGTTGAATTGGAGATTTCAACAGAAGAGTCAGTGTTTTAGCTCTATAAAACCCTTGAAAAATAAGCATTTATTATATGGTTCCACTAGGTATGTAACTTTGATGCCCACCCATCATATCTCATATACCCTTGGGGCTGGAAGGGAGCTTAGGGAGCACATAATCCAAAGCTTCATCTTAACATATGAAGAAACAGGCCCTACCCTGGAAAACAGTATGGAGGTTCCTTAAAAAGTTGAAAATAAGAGCTACCCTACGACCCAGCAATTGCACTACTGGGTATTTACCCCAAAGATAGAAATGTAGTGATCCGAAGGGGCACATGCACCCCAATATTTATAACAGCAATGTCTACAATAGCCGAACTATGGAAAGAGCCTAGATGTCCATCAACAGATGAATGGAGAAAGAAGATGTGGTATATACATACAATGGAATATTATGCAGCCATCAAAAAAATGAAATCTTGCCATTTGCAACGACGTGGATGGAACTAGAGGGTGTTATGCTAAGCAAAATAAGTCAATCAGAGAAAGACAAGTATCATATGATCTCACTGATCTGAGGAATTTGAGAAACAAGACAGAGGATAATAGGGGAAGGGAGGGAAGAATGAAACAAGACGAAACCAGAGAGGGAGACAAACCATAAGAGACTCTTAATCTCAGGAAACAAACTGAGGGCTGCTGGAGTGGAGGGGGCTGGAAGGGATGAGGTGGCTGGGTGATGGACATTGGGGAGGGTATGTACTGTGGTGAGCGCTGTGAATTGTGTAAGACAGATGAATCACAGACCTGTACCCCTGAAACAAATAATACATTATATGTTTAAAAAAAAATTAAAAGAAAAACAGGCCCTGTACAAATGTGAGACATAACATTTAAAAAAAAATTATAGGGGCGCCTGGGTGGCTCAGTCGTTAAGCGTCTGCCTTCGGCTCAGGTCATGATCTCAGGGTCCTGGGATCAAGCCCCGCATCGGGCTCCCCGCTCAGCGGGAAGCCTGCTTCTCCCTCTCCCACTCCCCCTGCTTGTGTTCCCTCTCTCACTGTGTTTCTCTCTGTCAAATAAATAAAAT